TGATGAAGCAGAGATCGTGTACCTATCTCCCTCTGATCCCTGTCAGAGAGCCACTATGCTGGTCCCGGGCTCGCACAGGGCACAGCGAAGCCCGGGACGTGCATGACAGCAGGAGGGGGGGCCGCGGAGGGGGTGGGGGGACACAAGGACCGGCAGCTTATGCAAGCGATCCGGAGGATCGCTTGTATGTTAACAGGCATTGCCTATTTTTCAATTTTGGGACTTTCCCACTCACGCCGCGCTGTGGGCATGGCTGAGCGGACGTCTAAAGACGCCCGCCCAGATCTAGAAAGCTCCCAGACAGCCGTTTTTTTTTTCAACAGCTGTCCGTTTTGTTACAACAGCCGGCCGGGAGGTGGTTAAAGTGGAAAATTATTTCTAAAAGTTCTACCCTCATTGAATTGCATTGAGTTTTGAGTTCAAATTTGAACTTTTTGGATGTTTTAAAGTTCGAACACTAGTGGTGTGTGGCACACAAGGAACAGCCTGGTAGGCTGGAAGGTTTGGAGATGCTGAGAGAGACAGGCACACAAGTATATCTGTAAAAAATAAGTCAAGGCAACTGGACTTGCTGTATTTTTCGTGAAGACATTTCACTGGTCATCCGATCAGCTTTCTCAATTCAGAATGACTTGTACAAGAAATTCTCTGGGAATAAATATTGTAAATGTCGCTCCAATCCACACAATCTGTTAGTCACAACCAGGTGTTGAATGCATTTGCATAATTGGAGTCTAGGAAATGGTTTTAAAACAGCATTGTATGTGGCAAACAATAGACGTCTCACCCCCCCCTCTATTCAAGCTTGGCTTCTCCATTTTTACATAAATGGCCTCTTTCACACCTCTTTTAAACCAGTCCTCCTCCCTGTCTGGGATGCGTACTTGAGTGTCTTCAAAGGAGTGGGAGATTAAAAACCAAAACAAAAAAACTACATGCAATTACTTGAAAAAAGGGTCTGCATGACATCCTGACACTTTATTACTATAGACTCTTTTTTAGTTTGACATTTATTGTTTTCCACTTGTTTGCCTACTGTTGTTTTATTTAATAAAATAATACTTATATTGTACTTACAAGTTTAATACCCTTGAATAAAAGTTTTGCTATCATACTTTTTAATCTGTTTCTATGGGGCTTAACAAAATGGGAGGCTTTAAATGTTGCAAGAATTGGAGAAATGGGTGTAGCCACCGAGAGATGTGGTCACTGAGGGGCACCGTAAAGCTTTCTCGCACAGTGTGCCTAAAGCCGGCCAGTATATAATATGCCTGCAGTCTAACAGGGTGTCAGCTGGTATTAAGGCTAATATACAAAGCCACCAATGATAACCCATTTTGGCTACTAATCTTGCATATAAACTCTGTTTATATACAGAGTGATGTCTGCGGTCCGACGTTTGAAATAAAAATTCGGTCTACTGAATTGTCTTTTATTCATGCTAATATTTTTAATGTAATTTCTGGCTGCATTAGAACAGTTGGATGGGTATGCATATCTAAAGGTCCCCAGCTAGATAGGTTACTGCACTGATCCACAGAATGTTTGTGCACTGTGTCTCTAACATAGGTTAGATAGGTGAAAAACACTAAGTTATGCCATATTTCTTTTATAAATGAGGCCACGGAAGGCATGAGGAAAAACATTTATTTGTAGACAGTAGACAGTAGAAAATAAATGCTATGAAAGGAGTTAATAGCAATATTTGAGTATTACTATAACAGTAGACATTGCACTATAGAATGTAAAGACCTTAATTAAGCAACACAGTACTGAAACATAGCAGGTTGGTGCCTTTAGGGAGGCATATTTCTTATTGTAAAGTTCCTCGGAGTGTGATATTTTCAGTCTCTCAAAGAAAATTCTACAAGAAAAAAAAGAATAATGGGTAAGAAGACATGTATAAATGTATTTTATTGCATTTTCTATATTTTTTTCAAAGTTTCATATATTTGTGTGTGACATATTAAAACAGCATATGCATCACAGAAAAGAGAAACATAACAGGGAAAACAATACAACTGTAATACAAAACAATTGAGAGAGGAAATATGCACGAAAGGACCAAGCTATAATTATCTATTCTGATAAAATATAAGTTCAGGTTGTTATCCCACAAGCCCAACTACCAGAGGTTGCTACCACTTAAACATATATAGTATGCAAAAACTGCTATCCAAAATTGTGAAATAAGAATTTTTATGCTCTATATATGTATGCACTATTTGCTTCTAAAATTACAACATAACTCAAGTACAGTTTAGTACCCTTTCTGGGAAATTCACTTTTAATGAGTATTAGTTTTGGGTTCCATATTTCTTTTCAGCCTCGCACATGGAGAAATGAAATAAGAATGAATCTGTGTTGCTACTGTTCTTCTTCTTCTTCTTCTTCAGTATGTCATATTGTGGTAGACCTGAATCAGGAATTCAGTATGCTCCCATGAACCAATAGGGGAATCAGTTATACTTAGTGTAGACATATTGGCTTTGGTTTTTCAGTCCCAGTTTCTTTGTGTATTGTGTGTTGTTTCCAAAGTACATATGTTGATTTACTAGAGATTGGAACTAGGGTTAAGGATTAGGTTGAGGATTAGGGAATTATGTTAGGGTTAATGACTTTTCTTTTTGGACATGAATAATCCTGCGTTGAAGCATCAAATGTTATAAGCATGAGTGCCAAAAACAGAGTGGTGACAAAGATGTACTAATATACAATTTATTGGTGCTGAAACTTCACATGCCTAATGTACTGCCATTAGGAGCTTGCCTTCCAGTGCTTGAGGTGTCATTCATGATGATATAAGGTTGGAAAGGGACATAGCATAGCTGCTACTCGCTGCCAATGATCCTAAAACAGGGTGAGACAGACAGACAGACACATTATTCTGCTTTTCTGATTCAGGAGAGCACTTAATTGCAGACGTCCCAGCTATAGAAGCTGGGACACACTTGTTTAACAGGCTACATTCAGAGTTTGACAGTTCTCTCCTATTCAAAACTATAGAATAGTTTTTTTATGTTGTAAACATATTACAATTACTCTTCATTACCAGGAATAGTAACATACTAATTAGGCATTTGCAGTCTTGAATACCATGTTTAACATTTTGCAAAGGTTATGGTTTGAAAGTGTACTTTCTCGCTCTCTCTCTAAAATGTAAACCCAACTAAATGTAAGAAACAATGTGAAAGATGACTCCTAAAACCACAATATTTTTTTCTGTTTATGGATTCTGTCTTTGCTCCTTACTATGCATAATTATATATAGGCTATGCATAATTGTGAATTAGACTTTGAATACAAGAAGTGCCGATTTCCGCTAACCAAACAAAGGCTGACACAGAGTACAAGCATATAACATACTATGCTTGTTCATAGTTACATAGTTACATAGTATTTGAGGTTGAATAAAGACACATGTCCATCAAGTCCAAAGTTCAAGAGAGGAATATTATGAAAATATTTATATAGTATAGCAATAACAATTTTAATAGAGAAGGAACATTTTTAAAATGTATTTAACCCCCTTTTATTATAGGATTTAATTATATAATTCAGTTATTGATTTCAGTCACATAATTATAAACCTCCCAAATAGTTGAAAAAAAACACAAGACACGATAAACAGCATCACAATCTATCCCAGTAGAATAATACAGGAAACTGATTTTGGGTGATGGAAGTAAAGTATAAATATTGTGAAAATACTACCATCATTTCTAAATGATAATGTGTCCACTTTATACTTAATACTCACCTGCACTTGCCTCCTTCTTCTGAAAGCCAGCATCAGCTTTAAAGGAAAAAGGAAGGCAATTCAATACAGAAATATATACCAGGCATGTATGATATTTGCAGTGAATATATAATATTTACAACATTGAATTTGCATTATTATGTACAATGCATGCACTTTTTTATTATAAATGTGTAATTTATCAATTATAAATGTGTAATTTTTGTTTCAAATTCTTTTAGATTTGTTCATGTATTTTCCATGCTGTAAACAACTAAATATAAAGATATTTAATTACAGTACTTACATGAGTAAGTGTATGTTCCTCCACTTAATACTTCCATTTCAGGAAATCTAATGAAAAATAAAAATGATCATCATGTAAAAATTCCAAATATAGCTGAATCGAACTTTTTTCACAATTTAAAAGGATCCTTTTAAATGTACATTCTTTAGAGGTTGTAATAACCTATAGTCCATGGTAAAACAGTGTAAGTGTAACCAACACCTTTTAGTATCTTTGCAGTAGGTCATGGATAGGTCAGTGCAACCAGTTTCCCAAATCTCCTCCCACAGTTTATTGGGATCATGCACTTTGCACTAAAACAAAGTCATTATTATCTTTACACTACACATATACACTCACTGGCCACTTTTTTTTTAGGTACACCTGTTCAACTGCTTGTTAATGCAAATTTTTAATCACCCAATCTAATGGCAGTAACTCAATGCATTCGGCATGTAGACATAGTCTAGACGATCTTCTGAAGTTCAAACTGAGCATCAGAATGGGGAATAAAAGTTATCTAAATGACTTTGAACAGGCATGGTTGTTGGTGCCAGATGGGCTGATCTCAGTGTTTCAGAAACTGCTGATCTACTGGGATTTTCACACACAACCATCTCTAGGGTTTATAGAGGATGGTATGAAAAAGAGAAAATATCCAGTGAGTGGCAGTTCTCCGGGTAAAAATACCTTGTTGATGCCAGAGGTCAAGCTGATAGAAAAGTAACAGTAACTCAAATAACCACCTCAGAAGAAGGGACCCTGCGTGGCCCCCGAAACATTGGCTGTTTGACGCATGTGACGATTGAATAATAAGTGCTTTACTTCTTGCACATATCATCGAGTGCTGGTGACTTCTATTATGGACTGTATCTGACAGGGCGCCATGTTGTTACTTCAAGCACCAACCTCTTACTCAAGGTCTGTACACTGTATGGAGTGCAGGTGATTTTGTATGATCGATTAATTTCTGCTGTAACATTCGGATACTCGGGTCACAACTTGGCATAAACTACATGAAAACATGGATCCATCCTGCCTTATGTCAATGGTTCAGGCTATTGTAGTGGTGTAATGGTTGGGGATATTTTCTTGGAGATGAGCATCGTTTAAATAACACAGCCTACCTGAGTATTGTTGCTGACCATGTCTATCCCTTTATGACCACAGTGTACCCTTCTTATAGTGGCTACTTCCAGCAAGATAGTGCACCATGTCACAAAGCTAAAATCATCTCAAACTGGTTTCTTGAACATGATAAAGAGTTCACTGTACTCAAATGGCCTCCACAGTCAACAGATCTCAATCCAATAGAGCACCTTTAGGATGTGGAATGAGAGATATGTATCATGGATGTGCAGCCAACAGATTTGCAGCAAATGTGTGATGTTATCATGTCAAAATCTACAAAATCTCTAAGGAATGTATCCAGCACCTTGTTGAACCTATGCTACAATGAATTAAGGCAATTCTGGAAACAAAAGGAGGTCCAACCATGTACTAGCAATCTGTACCCAATAAAGAGGCCAGTGAGTGTATATTTGTGTGTGTGTGTGTGTGTATGTATATATATATATATATATATA